TTTATACTTCGCATGCGCGCTTCAAGCAAGAAGGCAGAGAACGGCTTCGACGGCATGTACACTCATACTGCCTGACACGCCCAACCGTCCGCAGCAAAGTAGGGTTCACTATTGAAGAACTTCAGAACGGTCAAGGAAGCCGACCAACAGTTCAACGAAGATACTCCGAAGGGTGAAGGACAACTCGGAGCTTTGACGTCAGCTAGCACAGGCTAGATTGCGTCGCCTTGGCTTCATGCGAATTAAAATTGCGTGAAGTACACAACGCCAAAGTTGGAAGTCAGCGTTACAGGCTATGACTCGACATGAAAAAGACGCTTAGTACAATGAGCTCTACCGTGAAGCTGACCTCCCTTGGGACAACCATGGGGCACTCGCCTAGCAAAGGGGACGGTTGAGTTTCTTCTCTGCCACTTCGACAATGTCGTCAACTGCTACTTCACCCGTTGCCGCCACAATCGCCCCCAGCAGAATTGCCTAGTACAGCTACCATTGCACTACACTTATCGCGCAGGACGTTGCAGGGCGCTCCAGTTTGACAGTCACATTCGATGTGAGAATCGTCGCCCTGGCAAAACAGTTCTAAAGGCAGATCACAATTACCTTTTCTCACGCGCACCGAGAAGTAATCCCGTCACAACGTCACGAGATTTTACCGCGAGGAACGCCTGGCCTCCACTCTTCACCGATAGAGCATCGTACCAGAACTCGATTCACCTACATTTATACGGGGAATTGAACAATTGTAGATTTCAATACACAATCAATCTAGGACGCAATCAATTCATCGATACTCCATATAGCCTGACGCTAAACTTCACCACCTTGAAAGTCCAAGATCATGGAGCTGCGGCGTGAGATCTACAGTTGAATTACCGCATAGAGAACGAGGATTGTGCAAACATACCTTTCATAAGCTTTCACTCCACCGAACTGAATGTTGAGGTGAGCTCGCATGTGCTCACAGATGATACATCAAAATACGCTGATACCATCGGGATGATATGTTATCCGTATTCACACGTCATTGTTACACTCGACCACCATGATAGCACTCATCAAGGAGTTTCGAGATAAAAGTCGCCAATTTTTGGGTTCTGCACTCACAGTAGCACTTTCGCAACAGACCGTCATTTTGTACGTGAAAGTGCTACACTAGTGAGTCAGCGAGCAAGTCCCTTCGCATCACCGCAACGTGGACCTCACAGCATGGTCAAACATCACGTAGATGATCCGCAGCTCGGTACAACTCCTCCCCTCTATGCGGCTAGTTGACCAAACATGGCTACTCAGAATGACGAAGTTTTGAATGCGGCTGTGTTTCAGCTGCTTCGCTTATTAGCGCTGGAGCGAGCTATCTCACCCTAAACTACCACCATGAGGTTTTTTTCGAAAGGTTGTAACTTCCTTCGACAGCAACATTTCTAAAAATTGTGGACGGGTTTCCTAATCTCTCAGAGGCTCGCACCTGACAGGTAGCAAAGCAGGAGGAGGCCCAACGGCTTCACTTTAGAGGAACGATGGAAATTCCATGAGAAGGGGAATTATCGTTTTTGTGACATGAAACATTGACGTAGCGAATGAAACATCTTCAAAAACACCATATTGCATGATAGAACTATTCAGAACTTGAGACACCTGTCTACTGAAAACTGTCTATTGAAAACTTTCCTCCATCAGAGCTTTTTACAATCGCCCTTGATCAATAGTGTGCATGACTTTGTTGGGCTTGTCTAGTGCTGAGGATAATACACAACTCCATGGAATGCATGTAATTCATTGCTTTAATCGAAAGGTAACACGTCAAAAATCGCCGCCCCCCCCCTTGCCGCATTATGCGCCGCGAGTGCCGTATGTGGCGCCTTAGTATTACCTTGCACGTCTCCCTCTTGAAGAGTGCGACTTTGTGATATTTCTAGGAACATAACGTTCTTCGATTAAAGCCCGGACTCATGCGGGGCCAAGCATGAACCAGCGTGCCTGCGTCAAAGACTTTCGTAAAAGTACACTATTCCAAAAAATTCCTTTTCTTGGGGAGGACTCTTCCAATTCCAATTCATTGAAGACTTTCGGCAGGGGGACGCAAATTTTTTCAGCTTTCCAGGGACCATACCTCGGGGAATGCAGCAACCAAAAACAAGACAGAAAGCGCTTCGGGAGAAGTGGGCTCCCTCCATCCACCCGAAACGACCGTCACTGAAAAAACTGTCCCTGGCGAATTTCATCTCCTGGTTGCCGTTGCTAAGTGCACCGTCCATAGAGCCTAACTTTGTTCACACTTTTTTGGAACAGTTTTGCCCAACAGCTTACCAAAACCTGCTGAGCCTGTGTTTCTTAACGCTGCATGTAATAAGGTTGCTAGTTAACAGCTTAGTTATCTAAAACGATAACGATAATGTTTCTGCAAGCTTGGGAAAGATTAGAGTTTCCCAAGCTGTAAGTGCGAGTATTTCTATTTGGTTCCCCACAACTCCTTCCAGAACCCACACCAAGCCTGGAAACCACGCTATTTCTACCCATGCAGATAAGGTTCAGTTTGTCGTTGACGGGGTGGTTTAGAGAGCTATGTGGATTGCAGCGGCGGTTACATACGGGCAGAACGTGGGATATCGCCCTTTTGGGGTTGTGATCGCGCGGATGGATGCCTCAACGAGGACGGCTAGCATGCCTGCCGGTCCGCCACGGACGCATTTTAAGGCCTTAACCCCAACCTATGTTATCTACGCTACTATTGTGTGATAGAATTGAAGACTAATAAATATGTATCCGATAGTTGTGCTGACTATTGCTACATAACAGAAGACTATTGAATAACTATTCATGTTGACTATACTACTACGCAATAGAAATAAATGACTATTACATGACTACCAATAGATGAGAACAATATAAAGAAGGTTAAGGCATGAATAGAACAGCACAACATACGGGTAGGAAAAGAGTGTGACGTGTGAGATCGTAAGAGCCCATTTCGCGCCGGGATTGAGACGTGAGATACTTGGAGTGACGCACTCAGCAGGATGACATGACGAAAAAACTGACGACTGGCGGGTCGCGCGGGCTGAGTATAGAGAAGCAGGGTAACTTCCCGCGCTTCAAGCTTCTTCCGTCGTTTGAGCTGGCGGCTGCATCGTTTGAATTGACGAATACGGTACGATGACGAATGGAGCATGATATTGTTACGGCGCATACCACGGACACTTTCAGGTCGTACGCAAGTCACGACACAGTTGATGGACTCAGGAGCTGAGAGGCTCAACCACGGGATGCGCCACGACTTCCCTCACATTCCTAGTAACACTAAACGTCACGTTGGCTCATGAAACAGCTTTCTGAATCTGATGACATCCTCCATGTACTTAGGATCATGTTAAAGCCCTTTTGCGATGGGATGTCCTTTTGAGAGCCACCCCACAGTTTCGCGTTTGACTCTCACCCCACAAACACCATGTCACATTCTGTTGACTTCTGATCCCTAAGAATACGACCCCCTCCAGCGAGCCAGTACTATCCCCATTGAGGATTCTCAAACTATTCCTCCCGGTCCGCATATCAGCTTCGGCGCTTTTGCTGATAAATGAAGGTTTTTTTACTATAAAGCAGAACTATGTATTCTAGCGGGGCAATCTTGAAAAAATGCTGACTCCACATATGCAAATACTCTAGGGAGATTAGTTGATAATGTCGCGATCAAGCGGGGCGGTGTCAAAGGGGCAGGTTGAGTTCGCCTCCTTTACTCGATCATTGGTGATCAGTTATGATCGATTTAGGAAGAAAGCAATTAGACCTGGGAACTCGGGGTGTACTAATTTCATTTCTGCTAAAGCCGCCCGGACGGCGTGCGGCGATATTAAAGGCAAGTGGCACGATAAATTCCCAAGACGTGTAGGATTAATAAGTCTAGCAGGACGGATATGCACCCCTGAGGCAGGATGCCACCGACGAGCTCGTCCAAAATCGCTTTCTGAGTCGTGTAGTACGAAGGCTTTTTGCAACTTTCTGACCGTTTCACTTTGCCTTATCGCCATTTTCCCACTATATAGAGCCTTCTACCATTTTGAACCGAGTTCCAGTTTATCGTGCCTTATGCCTTCAGGAGGAACTCTTTAGGGCTTCCGCGGCGATGCTCGTCTATGCAGTAAAAACTGAAACAAACTGAGTAACATTTGGATTAACTTTCACCCTTGTTGGTGCTATCTAATTCGCTGTAGAAATGATTATATGGACGTTATCGATGGACGGCAACCCTCAGGTGTTAGGAAATGTGGAAAATATTGCATTGACAGGTATGTTGCACGGTATGTCATGAGACGCTAAGAACGAGTTCCCCAAGTCCATGTAGCCATTGCTACTACGAGTTGCGGTAGCATCGCACTATTATCGAGGTCATGATGCCTCTCCCTCTGAAAATGATTGATAAGCTACCATGAGAGGTTCATTTGTTCCGTTCGCCAAGTGAAGTGCAGCTGCAATATGGACGTACCAACAGTGGACGGCCTAGAGATCATTGACTTCACCAAAAAAGGAGAGGTATGGCTTAGTAATCACAGCCCAGTGAAGAGAAAAATGCTGATGTACCATATACTTGCCACTTTTAGGAAGGATCACAGCATCCCATTGAAATACGGCTCACGAACGGAAGGAAAGTACTTGTACACCAAGAAAATGGTTAGTACGATCCACTTTTGTCAAGTAGCGTCAGCAGATGACTCGCCAAATGCTGAATTTGTTGTTAAGCTTACGAGAATTACTACCAAGACGGCCGCTCCTTTGATGACGTGGATTCAGCGGCAGATTCGTTACTCCGATTTGAATTCAATTTTCAGTTGCACAAGGATGGACT